GGCCGGCGCCCCGGCCCCCCACTCGGGCCCACACGGCCCCCGCTCGCCGAGGCCGGCAGCCTGAGCCCCCACTCGGGCCCACACGGACCCCGCTCGCCGAGGCCGGCAGCCTGAGCCCCCACTGGGGCCAGCCTGCCTGCAGAGCCTGGCGTGGAGCAGCAGCAGGGCACCTTTCTCCAAGGTGACCAGCCAGCTACTGGCAGCAGGCAGGCCACATGAGACGGCCTCTGTCATGAAAGGGGCCACATTTTTTTCTTACTGGAATAGATATATGTGCTATCACAAATAAAACAAACTTTAAAAAATTACAGTAATGGGAACCAGCAGTTAGCGTAATGGCTATGTCACTGGATTCCCACGTAGTCGACCACGGTTCGCGTTCTGGACCCGGTGGCTTAAAACTCATGCCGGGCACGTGTGTGTGCGCGTGCTCAAGATCCTGAGAGGAGAATGGAGGAGAAGGGATTGCGGCGTGACCATCCCCTCTGGGGGGTGATTTATCGCTTTCTGTCTCTCTGTCTGTGTCTGTCTGTCTGGCGGACACACGCGCCCTATAGCGAAAACCTCTCCAAAAAAAAAAAAGACAGTAATTCCCTTTGCCGGCATGGAAGAGGACGGACTCGAGTGTAGACTGGCATGCACAGGCAGACATGCCACACAGACCAACCGCGGGACAGGGGTTGTGGGACACACAGCACAACACAAAGTGATCAAAGAGGCCGTCACAAAGCTCATGTCTAGCCAACCTGTGAAAGGAGTAGGAGACTGCCCGGTATGTGGGTGGCTAAAGATGGCCACGCATTCTTATTTTTAAGAAGTATTTTATTGGGGCCAGCAGGTGGCGTGGTAGTGAAGGGCACTGGACTCCCATATGGCTAACCTTGGTTCACCTCTTGGACCTGGTGGCTTGCTTTCTCACTTTCCTACTCTCTCTCACTCTGTCCCTCTATGGTCGAACTAAAAATAAATACATAAATAAATATAAATAAGAATTTTTTTAACTTTATCCATTTATTTATTTATTTAAATTTGATCAAGGTGGAGGGAGCAAGTAAGCCACCAGGTTCAGGGACTCAAACCACAGTCGGCCATGTGGGAGTCCAGCGCCCTTCACCACCATGCCACCTGCCTTCCCTAGCCCCAAATTCTTTACTACTATTCCAATGGAAAGGTGATGTCTAAATTGCTCTCTCTTGAATCTAAGCTGGCCTAACCAGTATCATGCGGCAGAAGTGATGTAGAACTCTCAGACTTACGGCATAAGAATTCTTAGAACCCTCTGGCAGCTCAGAGCTTCCCCATGTCTACTCTGCGGACACCATGCCGGGCGGCCACGTGAAGGCATTCTGGTCGACAGTGCCAGTGGAGCCGCCTTCCCTCACCCTACCTGTGCAACACACGGATGGCTCTTACCTCTAGACTCATCTGCCAGTCGGAATGCACCAGCTGGTTGTTGACTCACCCCGCTGAGCCTCACCGATCCCTTACCTACAACGTCATGAGATTTTCTTTCTTTTTTTTTTTAAATTTGTTTATTCTACTTTGACCAGAGAGGGATACAGTGAGAGTGAGAGAGAAAGTGAGAAAGCAAGCCCCCGGGTCTGGGATTTGAACCTCTGTTGGCCATGTGGGCGCCCAGCAGCTCAATTACCACAGCACCTGCCAGCCCCAATGGCATGAGATTTAAGAAAAGCACTTTCTGTCCTAAGCCACCGAGTTTTCGGGTGGTTTGTTACACAGCAATTCCAGATCTGCCCAGGCCTACCCTCAGGATGTTTTCCACATGCTCTGAGCACTGCAGGCCCCAGATTTCTACCCACACAATCTCCTTCTTGAAGCCGTGCATCTCCAGCCACAGGGCACTTCTCTGGTCACGTGAACTAGGCTAGACACATCCCACTTGTGTTGTGTACCCACTTTGTCTCAGTTACCAACAGTAACCCTCTCTCTTCAAAGTGACTTGTTTTGGACCAGCAGTTGGCTGGTAGTAGTTGTCACTAGACTCCCATGTACTTGACGGCGGTTCAAGTCTCGGACTCGGTGGCTCAAAACTCACTCTGGGAGCAAGTGCGTGCCCAAAGTTAGGAGACTGGAGAAGGGATTGCAGCATGGCCATTCCCCCATATGGGATGATTTCTCACTTTCTGTCTCTTTCTGGCAAACACATGTGCCCTGTATCAAAAATTGCTCAATAAATAAATAAATAAATAGAAAGTGGCTGATTTTTTGGGGGGTCATCAGAAGTCAGGACTTATATTTCTATGCAAACATGCATCACGACTCTCCTGACGACCTGAGACTAATCATCTGGTGACCCTGTGCTTAACTGCCCTATTTGTACAGAAATATTTTCTCATTCTAGACTTGAAGTTACTTGAAAGCAAGCATGATGTCTTTTATTCTCAGTAACTATTTTCTTAAATGATTTTTATTTAATTTTATTTATTATTATTTCTTAATTTGATCAAAGAGAGGGAGGGAAAATGAGAAAGCAAGCCAATAGGTCTGGGACTCGAACCGCAGTTGGCCACGTGGGAGTCCAGCCCTTTGAGAACTGTGTGCTGAGCGCCTGCAGTGCGCCTGGATGGCACGTGTACAGCCTGCCCCAGCGGTCACTCCTTCGTACTCTGGTAACAGAGGCTGCCAGGCCACATCACCTCAAGGGCAGGGCTGGTGGAGTTCTGACAATGCACGCTGGTCTCAGAGAAGACTCTGACACCAGGTCACCACAGAGCCAGCACATGTGAGGGTACACGTGAGACCGAGAACCGCATCTAGAATCCGTGTGATGACTACAGCCTCCCTCCTCACAGAGGTGCACCTCAAGTCGGGGCCCAGCTGAGGGAACTCACCAGGACGGTGCAGCCCACCATCTTTAAGGTGCTGGGAAGTGGGGTGGGACTAGGGAGGTTGGCCTGGGTCTCAGGACCCTATTTCCTGCCACACCACAGACCCAGGACCTACGTGGCTAGCTGACGTCCACAGACCCAGGACCTACGTGGCTAGCTGACGTGTTCCTTTTGTTGGCACTGGGCCTTAGCCAGTGTGGGTCGGGACGGCGGTGCACCAGGAGCACAGTACCGCAAGGCTGGAGGTCCCAGTCAGCACAGAGCCCTGGGCACGCTCAGCTCTCAGGTGTGGCCACAGGCGGCCAGCTGGAGCCGAGTGGACTGTGGCTTACAGACCTATGGGGGTCCCCGTCTCTGTCTTCCTCCAACACTGGGAGAAATAAACAAACTTGGGAAAAAAAGCAGTGGAACAACTGGTTATGATCAGTCAGGAGGACAGCCAGCCAAACTTACTGAGGCCCAGCTGCAGCAGGGGAAGCTGCACGGAAGTCCGAGTTCAGCTCCCAGCCAACGTCCCAGCTGAGGGTGGGAACCCGTGTCTGGGGTCTTTGCTGAGGTGGGAGGATCACAGTGTGGTGAGATCTCGTCAGAAATACTGTTCTTCCCCTTCACTCCTAGGAAGGAAGGAAGGAAGGAAGAGCTTAATAAAATAATTGAAGGACTGGTCCTATAGCCCAACAGTTAAGGGAACTGGATTCCACGTGGCCAATGCAGTTTCAATCCTGGTCCCAGCACCTTAAAACCAAGCCGGGCGTGTGCACGTGCATGCCCCGAGTCCCTACAAAAACAGAGAAGGGATTGCCACGTGCTCGCTCTCCTTCTGTACTCTGGCAAGTGCAGGTGCCCAGGCAAGTTTTTTTTTTTTTTTTTTTTTGGAGAGATTTTCACTGTAGGGCGCGTGCGCTCGCCAGACAGACAGAGAGAGACATAGAGACAGAAAGCGAGAAATCACCCCCCAGGGGGGATGGTCACGCCGCAATCCCTTCTCCTCCATTCTCCTCTCGGGATCTTGGGCACGCACGCACACGCGCCCGGCATGAGTTTTAAGCCACCGGGTCCGGGACACGAACCGCGGTCGACTACGTGGGAGTCCAGTGACATAGCCATTACGCTAACTGCTGGTTCCCATCCCAGGCAAGTTTTAAAAATTAAATTATAGTAGTTCTGTCTCTGGGCTCCCACGTAGTTGACTGCAGTTTGAATCTGACCCGGTGGCTTAAAACTCACACTGGTTGCGTGTGCATGTGTGCCCAAGATCCCGAGAGGAGAATGAAGGGATTGCAGTGTGGCCATGCCCTGGGGGGTGATTTCTTGCTTTCTGTATCTCTGTATCCCTTCTGTGAGCGCATGCATCCTATAGCAAAATCTCTCTTTAAAAGAGAGGTGGCACGATGGTTAAGGGCCCTGGACTCCCACATGGCCAACCATGGTTCGAGTCCCAGACCTGGTGACTTGCTCTCTCTCTGGTCAAAGTAAAAACAAATAAATAAATAACCCCAAGAGAATGGAAAAGGGACTGTGGTGTGGCCATCCCCAAGAGGATGACTTCTCGCTTTCTGTCTCTCCAGCAAGCCCACATACCCTATACAAAATCACTCTAAAAAAAAGGAAGAAAAAAATATGGAATAATTCACTCAGCTTACCCAGTTGGTAAAGGCTAATGAAATGAAGTGCTAAGTGATTTCTAGGCTGCTCTTCCAACTCAATGGTTAATCTGTTCAATGTTTCTTTTATACCTTGGTCTTTATTTTCCCTCCCAAATTGTTTGGCCTTGGAAGCTCACTGTGAAATGAAAATGCGCTGGTACCAATTAAATTCCTAATAACAAGTTTTATAAAATGGCTGTGATTTTATTTTCAAATTTTTAGAATAATTTCCAGAAAAATGAAGTGACAAGAACACATACAAGTATTAAGTTATGCATTGAACAATGAATTCTTAGCAGAGAAGGGGACTTTGGAAGCATCTGAACACGTCTTTTTCTTTCCAGTTCCGCCACAGGGCACATGCACTCGCTGGAGACACACCTGGCGCGTTTCCCAAGCTGCCAGGTCCGGGACTTGAGCCACAGAGTCGACCATATGGGATCCAGACACTTTAACCACATCACTGGCTGGCCCCATCTCCTTCCGAGAGGAGGTATCTCTCTTAAATATCCCTCCCGTATTTAACCAGCCTCCTCAAAACTTACTCAGTTTTGATGTAGTTCATTTCATAAAAATACAATCCACTTTCAAGCCCCTGAACGCAAGAGACAAAGTGAGGGAGGCAGGCCTCTGAAGGCACGTGCTTTCAGGGAAAGGCCGCATCTTCAAAGCAGCTCTGCCCACGCAGAACACGGTGCTGGATTCCAAGCGCGGCCTGTGCACTGCACTGTTCGCACCTGCGAAGCTGCCGTACCTCTGTAAAGACCAGGGAGCTACAGCCATTCAAGTGCACTAACTGGGCTTCACATCGTTCACACTTGGGCTGAAGCTGAAGCAGAAAAAAGCAACTAGCACAGAGGTGTTCATAAAAAACCTTTAAAATGGTATTGTGAGATGCGATCAACTGAAAATCAATCTCAGATAACAAATTTCCAATGACATAAATATGTCCTGTTATTTACCACAATTTCCAAAAGATCCTGATTAAAATAAAGACATGCACGGACTGGAACAGTAAGGGAACACGATGTCTCGGCAGGGCAGGGGTGCGAGGGCTGAGTCAGTCCTCAGCGAAGCGTGACCAGCTCTTCC